ATTGGTTTTACCTTCAAAATATATTCATAATCTGACTACCTCTCATTACCTCCACTGCTACCACCGTGGTCTACACCACCATAATCTCTTACCTAATTGGTGCCATTGCTTCCACACTTGCCTTCCTATAGTCTTTTCTCAACAAAACAGCCAGAATGATCCTTTAAAAAATGAGATCATGTCATTCCTCTGTTCAAACAGCGGCTCCTTGTCTTACTCAGAGCATGCATTCTCAACAGAAGCAATATCACCTCCAAGGTGATGAAAGTTGTTTCCTGAGGGGCAGGGGGAGAAAAAAATCTTGGATATTACAGTGGTTTGTGGCCCTCAAAGGGCCAGAGTACATAAGAAAATGTATTTTATATCTACAGTATTAAAATTTTATAAAAGGGTAGCAATTAGGAAGATAAAATTGTCTAAAAAGCCTCCTAAGGGGCATAGCAACGGCAAAGAATAGTTGACAACTACTAACTCAGAGGAAAAATCAAATTCCTACATGGCCCTGCATGATCTAGCCCCCATTATCTCCCTGAGCTCATGTCCTTCTATTCTTCCTCTTGATCATTCAGCTCCAACCACACTGGCCTCTTAGCAGATTCTCAAGTACATCAGGAACACATGTACACACACGCATTGAGCCTTTGCATTCACTGTTACCTCTGCTATGGCTACTCTGTCCAAGGTTTCCTCCAGGCTGACACCCTCACCTCCTTCCAGTCTTTGCTTGACTCTTCTCAATTCTTCTCAGAGAGACCTACTATGGCCACCCTATTTAGTGCTGCAGCATGCTCCCCTTACCTCCGCACCCTGGACCCATTTACCCTGATCTACTTTTGCTTTTTTTTTTTCCCATAGCACTTATCATCTTCTAACATACTATTTAATTTTCCTTTTATGTGTCTTGCTTGTTTTCTGTCTCCATTTACCAGAATATAAACTCCATGAGGGTAGAGATCTTTGTTCTATCCACAGCCCTTATAACAATGCCTGGCACAAAGTAGCTCTAAATAATGGAAAGATGAATCCTTTCCAGCCCTAGGGGAAAAACTTAAGTCCTAGAAGGAACTATAAATGCAGTTAAGCATGATTTATAATTGGAAAAAAAGTATGAGGCCACGGCCCAAGGATATGACTCATGACCACATTACTAATTCTGCCTGAGACCCCCTCCTTAGGGTCCTAAGAATAACTAGAAATTAAGGCATGGTAAAGCTGTGTCTGGAGCCTAGCCCAGGGCGAGAGGGACTTTTCGCTTGTGCCTCACATTCACAGATTGCCTCAAATACAGGTTTTGAACTTTCCCTCTAAAGGGGTTTGTTATATATTCAGCCGGAGACACGTCCACAAGAGACGAAGGAGACTTTCAGCTTAGAACTTAACTGGTATCTCATTACAGCATTCTCCCCCATCGATTAACTTGGGAAACCCTGTAATTTATTTCATGACTATCAAAATCATAAAGCTTTATAATGTTTCTGTGTTGAAAACATTCATTTGTTAAATGTAACTATTTCAATTATGCCACAACTTTGGAATTCTGTTTTTGCTTCTTTGGTTTTTCACATACTGCTGAATTTGAGAAATAGAAGTGGCCTGGGCTTTAAGACAGCCTGTGTATATCAGATCAGTTTTGTCCCTTTTTGGTCACAGAGAACCAAGGAGGTAGACTCTGCAATATTACATGGGCTCACGGCCCTCACAGGCTGCTGTACCTCAGACACCCAAATGCCTCCTTCCCTTCTGGCTCACTTCCTCCAACAAATGTACTTACAAAGCACATTCCTTCCCTTTTGCTCAGTTATCCTATAATACTCCGGGGTGGGGGTGGGGGTAAAAGATGGAAAGCCCGTGGGAAGGATTACCCAGGAGACCCAGGTATGAATGGTTCCACAGAGACCATCACAGAAAAGGGGCACCCACCCTCTTTGGGTTTTGTGACTGTAACAGTTCATTTTATGTGTCAACCTGGCTAGGCTATGGTACGCAGTTGTTGGGTCAAACACCAGTCTAGATGTTGCTGTTGAAGGAAACCAGAATATGTCACCCCAAAATATGCCTCTTTGACATAAAAATTATTTTGAGCTAAAGGTATTTTAAAAAACAGTAGGTGTGAGGCTGGCCTGGTGGTGTAGTGGTTAAGTTCCCGTGCTCTGCTTTGGTGGCCCAGGGTTCATGGGTTCGGATCCCGGGTGCAGAGCTACACGCCACTCATCAAGCCACGCAGTGGCGGCATCCCATATACAAAAATAGAGTAAGATTGGCACAGATGTTGGCTCAGACACAATCTTCCTCACCAAAAAAAAACCTAACAACAACAACAAAAAAACAGTAGGTGCAAAAAGGGCACTCCGACTCTCCTCTTTTTCTTCCAGAAAGCAGGAGATAAGACCTTAATACGGAAAACATCCTCCTTATCCCAGAAGGAAAGTAACATTCTTATTATCAAGGATGGGAAGTTGAGACCTAGAGAATTCTGTAAAACAGACCTTATTAAAATAATTCTGATCTTCCTGTCACCTCCCCACGTATTTTAATTACTTTTTCACAATTGCCTCTCATTGTTCAACCTAGTATAAAAGCAGTTAGGTTTTGCCACTTCTTTGGGTCTTAATTGCCTTATGAGGGCTCCTGTGTCACGTAAAACTTACATTGAATAAATTTGTATGCTTTTCTCCTGTTGATCTGACTTATATCAATTTAATTCTCAGACCCAGCTGAAAACCCTAAGAGGGCAGAGATAAAATTTTGCCTCCCTTACACTGTGAAGGTATTTTTTAGATATGATGAATATTTAATTTTGAATAAAGCAGATTATCCTCCATAATGTGGGCAGGCCTCAGCCAATCTGTTGAAGGTCTTAAGAAAAAAGACTGAGGTTTCCCGGAGAAGAAGGAATTCTTCTCAAGGCTATAATAACATAGAAACCCTGCCTGAGTTCCAGCCTGCGGAATTCAGACACAAGAATGCAACATCAACTCTTCCCTGAATTTCCAGCCTGCTGGCCTACCCTACAGATTTCGGACTTGCCAGCCCCCACAATTGCATGAGCTAATTCCTTAAAATTTCTCCCACTCTCTATCCCTCATTCTCTGGAGGACCCTGAATAATACAGTGGTTAACTTATGGCTAGTTTCTGTTGGTTTTGTGTCTTCACCACCCCCCTTAGCATCCTTCTTCTTTTCAATCCAGATTTTTTAAAAATTTTATTGTTTGCTTTGGAACTAGACCTCCTTGCCTTTCACACACAACTTCCTTCTTTCTTATTTTCCTAGAACAAATTATTACCCTATCAAAGAGCCATCAACAGACTTCCCAACTGCTTCTCTACCTTTTTTTGGTTCTCTTAACCCTGACACATCCATTCAACCAGCACTTTTCGAAGACGATAGGGGTAATAGTCAGGCGCTTTGGAAATAAAATGTTGAAGACATCACACCCTGACTCCCAGGCTGCTCAGGTTGTAAGTGAGTTGGCGGGCAAACAAAGAGTTGCAGTGAAGTGTAGTAAGTGGTACACTAGAGATGTAGGTCCCTTAAGATCCTGGTGGGACAAGGTGTGTGTGTTGGGAGGGGTTGAGCTGGGGGTGAATAAAGGACTGTGTGGTTTCCAGTCAGGAGGCTCTGCGAGGCAGAGAGAGGGAGTGTTGAGGTCGTTTGGAAATGGCTTGGACAGGAGTGAGGAGGCCAACTCCGCCACTGGGATGGATCCAAACACATTATTTCACATCTCAGGATTTGTTCCCTCCTTTTCAAAAGAAGAAAGTACCGTGGAAGGGGAAAGAGCAGAGTTAGAGACCATGAGGCCAAAGAAAAAGTCTCTAAAAACCAGAAAGAAGTCCTGGGAGCAGCTGGGACAATATAGAAAAAAAGTACTCAACTTGTAGGTTAGCAACGTGCTAGGTGCTGAGGTCGACACCAGCATTTCAAAGGGGGACCAGGTGCTTATCTTCAGGGAACTCATAGTCTAAAATAAGCTCAACGAGCACTCTCGAGAATATTCTTACTCTGGGCATGTAGACACCCACACAGCTCACTCCCTCAGGTCTCTGTTCAGTTGTTGCTTCATCAGAGAGGTTGATCCTGCCCATTTGATATAAAATAGCACACCCACCACCACCCTGACCTTCTATATCCTCTCACTCGACTGTGTTTTTTAACTTTTTACTCAAGTATAATATATATACAGGAAAAGTTCACGTCATAAATGTACAGCTCACTAAATTTTCACAAACTGAACGCACACGCGACACCAGCATCCAGATCAGGAAACATTATTACCAGCCCCCAGAAGCACTCCTCTTGTCCACTCTCAACCCTTCCCTCATGGATAACCACTATCCCAATTTCTAACAGTGTACTGCTTTTTTACTCCACATAAATGGAATCACACAGAATGTACTCTTTTGTAATTGACTTCTTCACTCAACATCAAGTTTGTGTGATTCATTCATGCCATTGTGTGTACTTTTAGTTCATTCATTCTCATTGCTCTATAGTGTTCCTTTGTGTGAGTGTGACACAATTTATTTATCCATTCAACCATTGAGGGGTATCTGGGTAGCTTCCAATTTTGAGTTATTAGGAATAAAGCTTTTATGAACATCGCAGTACATGTCTTTGAGTGAACATACGTACATATTTCTGTTGGGTATATGTCTTGGGGTCAAGTTGCTGGGTCATAAGACCTACTTTGTTTTTTTAATTATTAAATCTTTCATGTATTAAAATCAGTGTGTATGTATGTACACAGAGAGAGAGGGAGAGACAGAGAGACTTAGAACTTAATAAATAGAATATTACTGCCATAGTCCATTCAGGCTGCTACAACAATGTACTATCGACTGGGTGATTTATAAACACAAACATTTATTTCTCACAGTTCTGGAGGCTGGGAAGTCCAAGATGAAGGCACTGGCAGATTCGGTGTCTGGTGAAGGCCCACTTCCTGGTTCACAGATAGCCTTCTGTGCTGCGTCCTCACAAGGTGGAAGGTGAGGGGTCCCTGGGGTCTATTTTATAAGGGCATTAATTCCATTCATGAGAGCTCCACTCTCATGGCCTAAGCACTTCCCAAAGTCCCCACCTCCAAATACCATCAAATTAGGGATTAGGGTCAATATATGAATTTAGGGGCGAGGACAAATATTCAGCGTACCTATAGCAATTATCAATACTTTAAAACCCTTTGTGTCTCTCTCTATCCCATCCCCCTCTCTATCTCAGAAGTAACCATTATTCAAAATTTTATTTATCATTCTCTTAATTTTTATTATTTTGAGACACAGTCATGTACCACATAACAACGATCTGGTCAACGACAGACCAGATCTACGACAGTGGTCCCATAAGATTAGTACCATATAGCCTAGGTGAGTAGTAGGCTATACCACATAGGTTTGTGTAAGTGCGCTCTATGATGTTTGCACAACAAGGAAATCACCTAACAATTAATTTCTCAGAAACTATTCCCATTCTTAAGCAATGCATGACTATATATGGATAGATACAGATATAGATACGTAGATAAATCACTAAGTAATACTTTATTAATATATAATATATAACAATAACATATTAAATAACATTATATTACTATATTATACAATATATAATTATTATATAAATTATTTTGTTTTTCATGTTTTTGAACTTGATGTAAATGAACTCCGCTTTATTTTTCTTCATAGCACTTCTCACCACTTAACATTTATTTTCTTATTTATTTATTATCTGGCTCACCCTCTCCCTCACAGCTCCTTGAAAACAATTAAAAAATACGTCTTGTTTTTATTCAGTGCTGTACCTCCAATTCCAGGAAGAGTGTCTGGTACCTAAAAGGTGCTCAATAAACACTAGTTGAACAAAAGAATGAGCAACTTTGCTCTCTACAGCAGTAGCGTGATGCAAGCTGTTTGTCAAAACGAAACAGTTCTAACGATGGCTGATGAGCATTGTCCTGCTAAGGGTTCCTCTGTGTCAAGAAAAATGAGAACAGGGAATTTCTGAGGTAAAATTAACTGTAACTTAAAAAAAATAATAAACGTAGTTGGCCGATGGAGCAATGGAAAAAGCAGCAGCCTCAGCATGAGCAGACTTAGACTGGATTCTGGCTCTGCTGCTTGCCAGCTGTGTGCCTGTGAGCGAGGCTCAAATTTTTTTGTTGCCACTTCCCCATGTGCAAAATGGGGATACTATTATAGAGTGGTTAATGAGAGAGTTAGGTGAGTGTATGAATGAAAATGCTCTGAACAGTAACTGCAAAGAAAATGATACTACAAAGTGCCATCAATATCTAAGGCCTGGGGAAGCTTTGCTAATTATGCATCTCCACAGAACTTTCTCTCTCTAAATCCTCCTCCAATTTAAAGTTTATATTATAAGCATACCTCATTTAAAAAAAGGCATCCATCTTTTCTAATTAGCTTTCTCCTCAACCAACAGTACTTATTTTTTTGCGATATAATACACATACTGTAAAATTCAACATTTCCAAGTGTACAATTCTGTGGTTTTTATTACATACACAGCATTGTGCAACCATCATCACTATATAATTCCAGAACATTTTCATCACCCCAAAAGAAACCCCATATCTATTAGCAGTCACTCTCCATTTCCCCCTCCCCCAGCCCCTAGCAACCACTAATCTGCTTTTTGTCTCTATTGATTTGCCTAGTCTAGCATTTCACATAAATGGAGTCACATAACATGTGGCCTTGTGTGTCTGATTTTTTTCATTTGGCATAATATTTTCAAGGTTTATCCATGTTGTAGCATGTCAGAACTTCATTCCTTTTTATGGCTGGATAATATGCCATTATATGGATATGCCACATTTTACTTATCTATTCTTCAGTTTATGGATATGTGGGTTGTTTCCATTTCAGCGCTATTATCAATAATGCTGCTATAAACATTTGTGCACAAGTTTTTGTGTGATCATATGTTTTCAGTTCTCTTAGGTATATGTTTAGGGGTGGAATTGGTAGGTCATAGATAAACCCTATATTTAACTTTTGGAGGAATCGCTGATCTGTTTTCCACAGCAGCTGCACCATTTTACATCCCCAGCAGCCACGTATGAGGGCTCCAATTTCTCCACGTCCTTGCCAACAAGTACTAATTGTTTTATTTCTAGAATCATCCTTCATTTTACCTCACCAATACTGCCTCAGTCACATTAGTATTGCAGCAGGTCTATAAACTAAATTAAAACAAAAAATTTCTATGTTACACTCAGATATTAAATAATGACTCCAAGTTACTGTTTCTAATTTTTCCCGGCAGACGGTATTCAGTATTGCAGCTGCCTCGGCTAGCGGGGGACTCAATTCACCATCACCCCGTCCCTCACAGAATCCCTGGACGAAAAACCACTTCTGAACAAATCCCCCTCTTAGCTGCCTGGAACAGGCAAAAGAGTAGTATTTCAACAGCTTCTCACACACATTTCACGTCACTTCTCTCCATTCTTGCAGTCCAACTCGTCCGCAATCCAGCAGGGGTAGAACCCGTACCCACCACCCCCTGCGCGCGCTGGCGCACACCCTCAGCCCACGCTCCTCCCCCCGGCCCCGCCACTGCACGCCGTCCCCTCCGCCGACACCTCGCCCTCTGGGCCTGAGGGGTGGGGAGATGAGTCTTAAAGAGAGTCTGCGACCAATCCGCGCGCATCTCCAGGAAGCGGCGCTCTGCACTGGCAGATTAAGTCTGATGACGTAGCCACAATCCAATCCGCATTCTGGGGGCGGGGCTAAAGTCTGGGGGCGCAAGGCAGGAGGAGGAGAACGGCTGGTGGAAGCACGTGACTTGGGTCTGGAGCCGGAAGCTACCGATCTGGTAGGGAGCGGCCCCGGTACCAAAGGCTGCGATGGTGAGTGAGGACGCATGCGCGGGAGTACGTACCGGGGCTTTTGCGTCGCTGTTCCCCAGTCTTTTTGTTTGCCCCCTTCTAGGTCCGCACTCCGCCCTCACCTCCTCACTGCCCAGGACAGACAGGGAAGGGAGATGGGAGGGGTGGCGACGTAGAGGGCTGAGGAGAGATCTGTGGGAGGGTGTACGGGGGCCTGGCGAGTAGTCTGCGGGGGAGGGGCGGGCCATAAGGGGAATTGGAGAGGGGGCTGTGAGGAGGGACCAGTGGGTTAGCAACGGTGGGATGTGGAAGGCCGCGGGGTTGCGGGGGGCGGGTCCAGAGGCAGAGTGAGGACAGAAGGAGGCTCAGGAAGATCAGTGTTGAAGGCCATGTAGAGGGAAGAGGCTCTGGAAGGGCCTTGGGTGGGGAAAGAAGCCTGGGGGGCCATTGTCAAGAGACACTTGGGTTTGCCAAGGACCATCCTCCCAGCATGCTTCTCACTGATTCATCTTTACCCACTAGACTTCTGCACTGACCCAGGGGCTGGAGCGAATCCCAGACCAGGTCGGCTATCTGGTGCTGAGTGAAGGCGCAGTGCTGGCGGTGCGTTCTGGGAAAGGGAGGCGGGGTCTCCCAGGTACACATGGCCCGGTGATCTCTTCCAACGTTGCCCCGTTTGACCTAATTTGTCTCTCGATCTTTTCCTGGTATCGTGCCTTGCCATATAGTAAGCTTTCAGGAATTAAATCTCTGGAATCTTAGTCTCATAACTGTTCTGAGGTAAAAGAGGTTTACTAACTTTACCAAAGTCAGACCACTAGTTACAGGTTTGTTGATAGCTGCTGTTACCCGAGTTATTCTTGAGTATGTCTTTATGTGGTATTTGTTGAAGAGGCTTTGTATTTTGTTCCATAGTACAATATAGTGATAGCTCTTTAGAAGTTTTCAATCTGGCTAGAGAGACAAGGCTAAAGCTTAAAAGTTGAAAGCAATGCAGGTGGTTAAGGCTACTGATGGAGTCCAGAAAATGAAGGATTCAACCCTTCATGTTATAACTTGTGTTTGGGCAAGGAAACTTTCTTGGAAGAGGTAAGAATTCAGCTGGGCTTAAAGGATGGATGGTTGTGAACAGGCAGAAAAGAAGGCGAGTATTCAAGGCTGGGAGGTGGACATATTTGCGGGAGTGTGGTACCAGCCTGTCTAAATTGGTGGTGGGTATATGTTGAAAAGATTTGGGGGGAAGAAGAGGCTGTGGTAAGGGAGGATCTGATTGTGGAGGACTGTCAAGGCTGGGTTAACACATTTGGATTAATCTTGAGGGTAATAGGAGCTTTGAAGGGTTTTTGAACAGAAACATGAGCTGATGAAGTGATTGAGTGAGACTGTTCTATCAGGTCTGAAGATGGGCCAGGAGGGGCAGGATTCGGAAGCAGGGATGCTGCTACTGAAATTTAGGGATGAAACAGAGCTGGTGGCAATGAGAAGGAGCAAGGAGAGATTTTAAAGGAATCAATATATCTTGGTAATGACTAAAGATGGGTAACAGACAAGATACTTCTCCATCCAGTAATACTTGGAATTCAAGCCTAGAATGATGGTGCCTTAACCAATTGGAAATTAAGAAAGGAAGTTGATTGCAGAGGGGGAGAGGTAAGGGGAATTTTGATGGCTTAACTTGAGACACTGAGTTTGATATAGAATAATAAGATATATTGCTAGGAGCTGTTCTAAGCATCTTGCCATTATCATCTTACATAACCCTCACAATGAGCCCATAAGGTAGGTACTGTTGTCCCCAATTTACAAATGAAGAAACTGAGGTACAGAATGTCCAGGAGAACAAAGGGCACTGAACTTAACCTAGTGGGTAGTGGGAGGCACATATTGAGGAGGAAGTTGAGACAGTCACCAGAAAAGAGGAAGCCCAGGCCACTGTCACATCACTACGCAAGGGTTAGGTAGTAGGGAGGTGTTCAAGGACAAAGGGGCTGTTTATGTTTCAGATTCTGCAGACAGAGCAACAAGTGGAAGACTGAGGAAAAGAGGGGGCCTTGAACAAGTCAGTGGTGGGTAGGCACTGATGTTTGAGAATGTGGTTTTATCAAATAAGTGGGGACAGGGAGACATATCAAGTTTCAAGGGACTAGGAAAGAATGGTCAGTAAGGAAATGGATGAAGAGTCACTGCTTCTCGGGGGAAGCCCAGTATTATAAGGATGAGAAACAAGGTGGGCAACAACATCATAGGAAAGTTTTAGGTTTGTTTTTCCAAAACTGGGGGTGACCTGGGGGTATTAGAAAGTAGATAGGGAGAGGTTACAGGTGCTAGAGCCAAAGTGACTGTTCCTGGAATTCTTTCCCAATTCTGTCCCCTAATTTCTGCCATCCTCCTTCCTCTGTCTGCCTGCAGTCATCTGGGGATCTAGAGAATGACGAGCAGGCAGCCAGTGCCATCTCTGAGCTGGTCAGCACGGCCTGCGGTTTCCGGCTGCACCACGGCATGAATGTACCCTTCAAGCGCCTGTCTGGTGAGTCCCAGCCCCTGCCCCTGGTGGTGGTGGTATGGGGGCGGGGGGGGGGGCGTGCTCCCAGGGGCTTCTCTTCTCAGGGAAGCAACACCTGTCTCCTACCAACCTCCCACCATCTCCCCCTGGGGTCGCTGTTTTTGGCCACTTACTTCCCCTTGGGATTCACTCCTGCATCAGAATTACGAGAAAGCAAGAGAAGGAAGGGGATTTCATGGAGACCTCCCATCCTCAAATCTCTGAGCCTGGAACTGTTGAATCTCTTGGACTTTTTTTTGTGTGTGTGAGGAAGATCGGCTCTGAGCTAACATCTGCCAGTCCTCCTTTTTTTTTTTTTTTTTTTTGCTGAGGAAGACCGGCCCTGGGCTAACATCCATACCCATCTTCCTCTACTTTATATGAGATGCCGCCACAGCATGGCTTGACAAGCGGTGCGTCAGTGCGCACCCAGGATCCGAACAAGCGAACCCTGGGCTGCCGCAGCGGAGTACGTACACTTAACCACTTGTGCCACCAGGCCGGCCCCGAATCTCTTTGACTTTGATCCCCACCAGTTTGTGTGTGACCCCATGGAGACCACCACACCCCCCTAACTCTGTGCTCCCTTCCCTCTCCCCGGGTGGGGGAAGGTGTGTCTCCCCTCCAGTGGTCTTTGGAGAACACACGCTGCTGGTGACCATATCAGGACAGAGGGTGTTTGTGGTGAAGAGGCAGAACCGAGGCCGGGAGCCCATTGACGTCTGAGCCTGCCAGAGGGTGAGGGGCAGAGGTGGACTGGGTCCCTGAGCCTCTGTGATGAGGAAGACGCAGACCTCCTCCACCTCTTTCTTGGCTGCCTGCTAGAACTAAGGCTTTCTGTCACCCACTTCCTCAGCCCTACCTGGAAGGGCAGAGGCTTGGGACTCTATGTTGCACTATGTTAAAAAGAATGAGGGCAAGGGGACCTTCCTCTTCCCTCCCTTCCTCCTAATAAACGTGAGTCTGATGTTCCTGGGCCCAGGGATATGTGTATGGGGGGTGGGTGTTACGCCCCAAGTCTGTCTGCCACCTAGAGAGACAGTTGTGTACCTCAGCCCAGAGGGGTAGGGCAAGGCCACCTCTGGGCATATAAAACTAGGAACCAAAAAGAAAAGGGTGGGAAGGAGCTGAGGGGAGTTATGTGGTGTGCATGCTGAAGGGATCATTCTGAGCCCCTGGGTCTCTGCTGCCACCAACACACAAACAACAGTCCTTCTCCCTCCTGAACAGGCGTTTAATAGTCTTATTTCAGTTGGAAGCAGTCATTGAAGAATAACTTACAGGAATAGACAGACAAAAAAAACCCCAAAACCCCACACAACTTAAAGTGCTTCAGGCTGCAAACGTAAACATGAAGGGCAGGAGGAGGCCACCTAGCTATCTCCCCTGACCCTTGAGCAGGAGGGTCATTGTCATTGTCAGGGTCCCTTTACCGTCACCACCCTCTAATCTTGGCCCTGCAGGTGGGTGGGCAGGAAGGAATGTCAGAGGCGGGAAAGACAACTTAATAGGAATGAGGAAAACACTTTGTAAACTTAGAACCAGGGTACGAGGCGGGGGGCAAGGGAGCTCTTGGAGGCCTTGCCCTGGCCGAGGGGTGGGGCCAGCCCCCCCAAGGAGGTCAGGGAAATACTGTTGGCTTAGTGCTGCAGCCATACCCGCCGACTTCACAGCTTCTTCCCTCGTCCCTCATCAGCAGACACAGACAGGCGGCCCTGCTGGGCCTCCTCACCCATGGTGGGAGGCATCCCAGGGGAGGCACAGCCCGGAGAGAGGACGCCCTCTGGGGGCTTTTGATTTCTGGGAGTGTAAGAGGGAGGAGAGCAGCTGGGTGCTACTTGACAGGCTCCACCACCAGGACCTTGCACTCGCGCTTGGCAATCTTGTCCAGAGAGAGCACAGCCTTGTCCGGAGGCAGGTAGAGGGGGCGGCCAACAGGGGAGGCCACGGGGGGTGTGATGGCCCTGCGCTCCATCACACTGCCCGACCTGGGGGAAGGCAGCGGCTGTGGGCCCTGGTCAGACCCCAGAACCCCTTCTGCTCCCTCTCCACTTCTGGCCTCTACCAAGTCCACTGGCAACCCCTCCCGCGGTTCCATACCTCATGAGGTGGCTACGGGAGGGCTGCTGGTGGGAGAAGGACTGAGAGCGGCCCAGGCTGGCCTGGTGCCTGTCGACCAAGTCCCGGACGGCAGGGCTGCTGGGGCTGCTCTTGCGAGAGAGGGGTCGGGCCTCTGGCGGAGGGTGGGACACACTGGCAGTGAACTGCAGCTTCAGTTTCATGTGCTGGCTCAGCTGGGGTGGGGAGACACGGAGTAGCATTCCAGCTCAGCTTCCAGGCCCCAGACCGCCTTCCAAACCATCTTCCCACTTGACAGGCCCATGTCAGATCTGAATTCCACCCTCCCTCTGCCCAGCGTTTTAGTGCCCCCCATTGTATTTTACAGAAGCTAGTGGCCCTGACTCCTTCCACCCTGACTTTCTTCATCACCCATCACACAGCCCAGCCCCTCCCCAGCCCACCTCGAAGAGCCCCGTCCTTAGAGCCTGGAAGGCCACACTGAAGGTTAGCGCACTGCCCTTCCGGGAAAAGCCGAGGTTGTTGAGGGGTGTGTGGCAGACAACAGAGTCTAGGGCTGCCTGCATGGCCCTGTGCTCCTCCTCACACAGCTGCTTTCCTGGGGGACAGAAACAGCAACCAGTAACACATCTGTACAGTGTTCCTCAGTTCACAAAGGGCTTTCACAAGCAGAGTCGTTTGATCCTCAAAGCCACTCTGTGGGATAAACTGAGTATATGTTATCTTTTGCTAAGTTTTATAAATAACAATAGCTAATACTGTGTGCTGAGATCTAATCACTTCACATACATTAACTCATTAAATCGCCATAAGAACCCCATGAGGTGTTTTCTCCATGTTAGAAATGAGGAATCTGAGGCTCAGAGAGGTTAAGTAACCTACCCAAGGTCACACAGCTAGTTAATGGGAGAGGTAGAAATCAAACATAGCAGGGAGCCCAGCTCCCAAGTGAATGCCCTTAAAATCACTCTGCCCCACTGCCTCTTTAAACTCTCTATTTCTGACACTGTGGAGACCACCTAGGTACAAAGCCAAAGCAGCCTGCCACAAGTCACCTATGTCCATTTCCTCCTCCCCCCTCCCCTCCTTCAGACAAGATCCCAGCCTGGCAGCCAACCTACCAGCCTGTGCGTGCTCTGGGGTCCACACAAGCCTCACAGCAAGGAAATCTTGCAGATTGTTGAGCAGCGTGTAGGTGACAGTGAATCGCTCGTAGGTCTGAACAGGGGATTCACAAGAAGCAGTCATCACAAAGCACGGGCGGTCCAGGCGGATGCTGGGCAGGCTAGAAGCAGTGAGAAGGAGGGAAGCAGGATGTGTGTGTTGCAAAACAAAGGTGAACAGGATGGTGCCCAGTGTGTGTGTGTGTGTGTGTGTGGGTCCCCACAGACTCACCGGTAGTGGGTGTAGATGCTCTGGGTGAAGGGCAGCTTCGGGGTGGACCACTGAACCACAGCAATCAGGGGAACTTCTAGGCCCTGTGGCAGGGACAAAGGGAAACATCACATGTATCGGAGGTCCTCTCTCACCTTAGTCAGTGCCCTGGCTCTTCCCTCCCACTGCTTTTTCTTAACCTTTTTCCTTGAACACACCAGCCCCTTATTTACACTCACTTCCTTGGCTCCTGGAGGGGGCTGTTCACCCCCTCTCAGCTGAAACAGGAAGTTGTGTTCCTCCAGGGCACTAAGCGGGCAGGGGAAGCAGCCAGAGGTACCAGGGAGCCGGCAGAAGGAGCCCATGGAGACTTCCCCAGATTGGTGACTAGTTTAGAAGAAAGAGGGACAGGGCTGGGTCTTTCCATGCCAGAGCTCTTGGCCCTGCCCCCATCCCGACCACTTCACGGCCCTGCCCCGCCCCAGGACCTCACCAGACATTGTCCACGAGCAGCACAGAGCCATCAGGCATGACAGGTAGATAACTGGCATTGAAGTTTGGGAGAATGCGGATGTCCCAGATGGAAATTTCCTCCTGGGAGGAGCTGTTCAGCACTGTTGGAGGTAACCAGCTCAGCTCAGTGTCTGCACCCCTCGGAGCCCACCTTTACCCCCAAAACGTACCTATCCCCACCAGCCTGCCCAGAGTAACTGCCACCCGGTCAATGCCCTTGCTGCTACCCAAGACCTGAGCCGCCCGTCTGCTCACCCTTGAGCACAGTCAAGTGTTTTCCAGCCACAGTGAACTGGCGGCATTTCAGAACCGGAGGGGGCAGTAGAGTCAGCAGGGTGCTTACTGCGGGAGAGGGCAGAGGCAAGAAATGATGGGCTGGGAGCAGACCTCACCTCCAACCCACAGTTCTAATCTTTCTTTTCTCCCCAGATTGGGCACTTGCCAGTATCACCTCTCCACCCTGTTCCCCAAATTCCAAACTCTGGCACTTCCCCTCTGCATTCTCCTCCCCACCTTGCGCCTTGAAAGCACTCTGCTCGCCCCGGAAGGTCTCCCCAGGAGATCGGGTCTGCAGCAAGCGCAAGTAGCCTTGATCTCTGACCTCCGGTGCTTCAACCTCCCGCTTCCACACAGTCACTACAATCTGAACACAGGGGACACAGGACCACAGTCAAGAGGAGAGACAGCCAGCCCCAGCCGAGCCTTAGAAAGGGAGTGTGAATTAGGACAGCAGCTCCACCCCTTGCCAGTCTTACCTTGGCTTTAGGTGTCCCTGGGGGCAGTCTATCCAGTGAAACGGTGAGTGGGAAGATGACCTCATCTGTGGACACAATTGGTTCCTCCACAGGCAGCTGGAGTTGCGAAAGGGGTGAAGAGGTCAGGAGAGTCAAAGAGGCAGCCTGCGGCGTTCCCTTTAAGATCCGCGGTACGTGGTTCTGCCCTCCCCTCTCCTCATCCGTCATCTGCCTCCAGCTTCAGGCCCCCAGCGTCCGTCCCCTCCCGTCCTTGGAACCCAGCAAACCGCCCCTCCGCCCTGTGCCCTGACACCCCAAGCTCCTCACCGTGGTCGCTCCCCCTGAGGTAGCAGGGCCCGGGCCGTGGGTGAGGAGGGGGCTACAGCCTCGAAACAACCCCCCACCGCCAGGATCCCCGCCCCCTGGGAGTTCGGAATCCTGGTCTCCGGAGCCACCGCCCGCGGGCGCCCCGCTTCCAGCGCTGACCGAGGCCAGGGCGGCCAGGGCGGTCGCTAGTTCTGCCCAGGCCCCTCGGGAGCCCAAGCCCGGGCCGCCCCCGGCGCCGGACCCCGCGCCGCCCCGGCAGCGCAGCACCAGCAGGAAGCGGACGGTCTCCCCCAGGTAGAGATGGTTGCGCCGGGGCAGCGCCCGGTACCGGCCCGGGTCCCCCGCCAGCTCCGCGCGCGGCGGCAGCGGCACGGCCGGGAAGTACATCGAGTAGTCGCACTGGGACTCCATGGGGCGGCGGGGACGTGGGGGCCGGCGGAGGGCGAGGGGGCCTCTGGGCCGGGGCCAGGCAGTCCGGACACCCGGCGGGTGCTGCGCGCAGCCGGACGGCCCGAGAGTCCAGCCGGGGCCGGGAACCGGGGCAACGAACCCGGAACCGAGACCCCGCGGGGCCGGAACCGGGGTGCGGGACCCAAAGTCTGGCGGGAGACCGGAAGCGGAAGGGAAGGGGCGTGGCCTCCGAGGCCCCGGAATTTGTGGGTGACCGGACCGTGGAGGAGAGGGGCGGGGCCCCGTTGGGGTTAGGCTGCAGCGAGGAGAACTTAGGAGAGACTACGGAGGAGAAATATTAAAAGAACCTCCTCCAACCCCGCTTTTCCCAGGAAGATGCTCCATCCCCTCCCCATTCCGCTCTACATAAAACTACTCGAAGTTTCAAGTTATTTATTCATTCAACAAACATTTCATAGTGAGACGAACAGAACCCAGTAACAAATATTTCATAGAGAAATTGACGCATTATTCCAATCCACCGTGTCCCAAACTTTCTCTGGTTTACTCCATGGTTCGCTCCTCGGGGTAGGGGGAGGTGGAGGACTGGAAAGGGGAAGGGGCAAAATGGCGGGGGCGGGGGGACGCTGCTAGGAGACAAAGGACTGGGATTTCTTGGACCCGGCTGGAGGACTTGGGGCCCAAATCCGTGCAAAGTTTCATTCATCCTCTGGAAAGCATCTAGACATGCTTTCTGAGGGCAGCAAAATGCATCTGGCTGTCCCACAGTCCTCACACGTGCCCTTCAAGCTTAGCTGCTCTTCAGCCTAGGACTTAGTACTCTGATGCCTATGGGGAGAGTGGCCTTGAAGTTTTGAGGGGCAGAGAGACTGTTGGGGGGAACTGCTTAGCATCTAGCTTGTCCTTGTACTGTAGCTCAGGGGTAGCCAGGCGCTCACACTCCACCTGGTCTTGGAGGCTCAGTCCACTCCGAAGTACATAGCCCAGAACCTTACCTGACCCAAACTGGAAAGGGCGGAACCGACGGTCAGTGATGTATTTGGGGTCTAAAGCCTCACCCCCCACCAGACAATGTTTAGCCAGGGCCTCTCGGCGAGCTCGCAGCTCCGCCACAGCACTCTGCAGCCGGTTCTGGCCGTATTGCTTTATCCGTGCCCACAGACTGTGGTTGAAGTGAACATAGAGAGCCCAGTCCAGGTTGTTCCAGGCTCGAGCCCGAGCGGTCAGCTGCCTGTCCTCAGCAGTCAATCCACCATTGCCGACAGTGCTTCCACCCAGCTTACCTCCAGCCTGGGCATTGTGCATGAAGCCCACCACATCATCCAAACCCCAGCACAGGGCGTCTGCCAGCAGAACCAATGACTCATCAAAGTACTCGGCTACCAAGACCAAGTCAAAGACTGAGTCCAGCCAGGCCAGATTCCACTGGATGAAGGACGAGGACTCCAAATCTAAAGAGGCAGGGCTGGACATCTGGCTGTCAGCAATAGTGGGAGCAGGACGGAAGAGAGCATTGGGATCCTGGGTGTGGGCTCGAGGGTCAGCGCCAGAAGGCAAGACGCGGAGCTGTGGGAGGTTGGGGTCCCTGAGGGGTTGAGGATTCCCTCTCTTGGTTCTCATCTCTGGGGGAAAGGGGAGGCCAAAGTCAAACCATAGCAAGTTGCGTGCATAGTGGTCCCCACGAGCCCCAGGCCGGTAGAAGGCTCGAGGATTGGCCAGGAAGGCAGCCAAGGACGGTGCTTTGCGGAAGGCCGATGAGGTGGATTTATAGTAGGAGAAGGCAGAACGGGCCAGAGCTGCTGGGTCTCGGACAATGGAAAAGAAGAAGCTGTCAGAAGGCATGACCTGAAGTACCTGCAGAGGAGAGAAAACAGACGTAGGGAGAAAAAACTGGGCCAGGAAGAAACTAAGAGCAAGCCCAATGCCCGCTGATCCCCCAACCTCAAACTTCTTTCTGACAGCTCTTCTTTCTGAAAGCTGGGAATCCCCAGCTTTCTTCACTAGCTGCACAGATTTTGGGCAAGGTACTTAACAACTTGGAGACTCAATTTGCTCATCTGCAAAATGGGGATCATCCTACCTTCCTTCCCAGGTGATTATGGAGGTTACATGAGATGAAGGATATGAAGGAACCTGGAACATGGGAAACTCCTAGAGAACATTAATTTCCTTGGGCCTTTCTGTCTGCCGTGGTCAGTAAAACCTTTAGAAACCAAACTTTGTATTCACTTCTCCAACAAAAACCTCTTAAGTGCCTACACTGGGACTCTTGGTCACAGCTTCAAGAAAGGAACTGGCCTTGGGCCTTCTCAGGGGGGTCACTGGCAGCAGAGAGGGAGGAGAAGGGGCAACAATACTGCTGTCTCAGGTATAGGCTTCAGGTGGGCAGGCCAAGCCCAGGATGGCCAAAGGGCACTTCTGGGGCTCCCGGGCATCTTGGAGAACAAAAGACACCCTTGGACTGGGCACTGGGGGGCCATGGCCACCCAGTAAGGTGCTGCCCTCAGGCCTGGGACATGTGATACCACTTCTCAGCAAGGAGGAAGGTGGGAATTGGGCTGAGCCACACCCTAACATGGTCCTCTAGGCAGATCCACATCAGAACCCAGCTCATGGGCTTCCTGAAGAGTTTCTGCCTCTGAACGTGACTTTCCTCATTGAACCTGACTCCCTGACATGATGTCCTCCAATCTGCTCTGCTAATATGGGCATGCTTGCAGGGCAGAGCCTGTGAACTGTATATCTCTTTGAAGGCGTAGGGGAACAGTGCAGTACAGTCTGTGGCATCAGGTGGACCTGGAATAGAATCGCAATTCAGCCATTTACCAATTGTGTAACTTTGGGCAGGTTATTGAACTTCTCAGAGCCTTCATTCCTCCATCTATAATTCTGGGTTAACACTTACCTTGAAGAATGTGGAAGTGCATGGAATATGGTAGGTATTCAATGAATGGTGGTAACAATGAAGATAATCATCCTAAGCTCCGGAGAAACCTACCTCAAAGCTCATTGTCATTGCCTCACTCCCAACAGTGGCCCCTCCCTGCCCATTAGATCACACTCAGCTGAAGTTCTACCACCTACACACACATACCCCCTCTTATACATGTGCACGCACACGTGCACCACCACCACCACGTCTTTGTTGATGTTTTGCTCCCTCTAGGTCTAATATTCTCCTTACTATGAAGTTATGTCACCCTTTCCTTTAAAACCCACCTCTCTCCAGAAAGCCCACCTCTTGAATATTCTCCCCGCAGTTCCAAATACAAACACACACATGCACACATGCCACAGAAGGCGCTTCAGCTTTGGAGCAGATGGGCCTGGGTTCAAATCCTAGCTCTGCCACTTTCTGTTAACAGAGGCCAGTCACTTAGGCTCTCCAAGACCCGATCTCCTCCTCTGTGTACTGGAGACACTTACAATGCCTTCTTGGCAAGGTGATGGTAAGATTAGCACCCAGCACTCAGGAAGTATTCAATAAAAGTTAGTTCCTTCCCTGTATGTTTTCATTTGCACATTGATTTTCTTCCTCCAAGAGCTTTCAGGTTCGGATGTGTGTGTATGGATGACATGTGAGTGCGTGTTCTCGTCTCCCCCTTTAGAACTGAGGCTGGGGGTGTGGGCTCCGGCTTGGCGTATAGCTGATCCTCAAAATCTGGCAGAAATGGTGAGGGCAGTGAGAAGAAGACAGGTCAGAAGGCAGTGGCTGAGCAGGGGCCCTGGTAGTGTAAGTGGAAGAGGCCAAGAAAGGCAGGGGGCAACCTGGAGGGAGAGTTGGGGGGGGTCAGAGTTGGCAGGGCCCTGAAACCCGTGGAATAAATTGGTCAAGGAGAGAGAGTACAGTAAGCTTCAGATGGGAGAAGGCAGGACTTCGGCTCCCAGAAACTACTGGGGAAGGGACAGCTGAGAGAGGGAATCTCACCTTTGTGGTCCCTATGCCCAACTTTTAGGTGAGGTGGTGTCTGGGGAGCCCCCAGGCTTGGGGCCTCCTCCCCTGGTGGTCTGGGCCACAGGCCTGAACCCATCTCTCTCCAGCCCCACCCACCCCCCTCTACACCCCTCACCTCTTTCAGGTTGAACCTCATGTGATGACAGAGGATGTGGAAGGGGGGCTGGGTGCCTCCACCCTGAGGGCGGTAGCCTTTGACCCGAGAGGCCTGGAAAAGCCTTGGGTAGCCGAACTGGTAGCGGGCGGGGAGGGCGAAGCGCAGCCCGTGTCGGTCCCCGTAGCGATGAAGCAGGCTCAGCACAGAGCTGCTCCCGGATTTATGCGTCTTCAGGAAAACAAGTCGCTGCCGAGGTGGGCAGGATGGAACAGCTGGTCCCGGAGATGGGGCCCAGGGCTGTCGGAGCTGCAGCCCAGGTAGCCTGGGGAGAGATGGCAGAGGAAGTGTCCTGTCCCTTACCAGCAGGTGGATGGGCATCTTGTGGAGCAAGGACCGAGGGCAAGGAGCCTCTTCTGAGTCCCCAAGAGTCACAGCCCCAGGTGGGATGGGGAGGAGAAAATGGGGGGCATCTATGGGACGTTGGGACAAGATGGGAACTCACCTCCTCTGGAAGGGGCCCCCCCAGAGTTGGAGGGCAAATCCGATGGTCATGAAGACTCCCAGAGCCACCCCCAGGCTCCAAGGCCCCCAGAGGCGCATGGTCCTGGTAGAAGACAGAGGGCCCATGTGGCACAGGGAAGGGTAACACTAGAGAGGGACAGGGCAAAGGCCAGGCACAGAGGCAGAGACAGCTTGAGACAGCCGTGCAGCCACGGAAGGCGCCGGTTCGAGATCGGGGGGTCATTCCCCAGGACTGCTCACAGCCCTGGTTGAGTCTGCCCCCTGAGTTAGCAGTTTTTTGCCTCTGTCAGCGTCTAGAAGGGAAATGAGGGGAAGGAGGGGAGTCTAAGAAGAGGGTAAAGCCTTCTCTCCTGCGGCCGCAACTGAGACCTAATTCAGGGAGGAAAACAGGGGCGAGATCTCTCCACCCAGATCTTCCAGGTGGCCCCACAACTACTCCTCTGCTGTCAGTCTCCAGTACCCCCAACCCCCACCTACAGTTTCTCCCTGAGCCTCAGGGATTTTGAAGGAAAGGGAAGGAAGAAAGAGACCCGGTGAGAAAGATCAGATCAATCTGCTTATACAACAGTGAGGTGGACATCGCCAAGCCCCCCGCTTCCTCCTGAGCTCCTCTGTCTGTGACAGATTGGGATAAAGAGCCCCATCCGGAGGCTGAGAGGGGAAGCCATAAGGAGGGAATGAGGGTCAGACAGGGCACCAGCTAATGAACACAGGGAAGTTAGACTACAGGAGTGACTTCGTAACGAGTAAGAGTAAGCTATCCCTTCGTTGTAAACTCAGGCCTCTCTTTCCCCTCTCAGCACAGGGCAGACCCCAGGGTGTGAGGGGCTGGGGGAGATGCGGGTTACTTATGAAACCCAGATCCCTCGACACACACCTACACACTCCCGTTCCCACTTTCCAACCCCATTAGTGCACCCAGAGGAGATTGAGAGGGTGGGGCTGGAGAGAGAGAGAAAAACTCTGTGACACGAAGATACCGAGAGAAAGACGCAAACACTGAGCTTCGGAGTTCTTTCCCACAGGCCCCAGCTTCCTAATGGACTGAGTCTGGACCCGCCCCTTCAGATTACAACCCACAACCTCAGGCCACGGCCCCTCCAACAAGCCCCGACAGCCCCGTCTAGGATGAGCCAGGAGTGACCCTAGGCAAAAGAGAACCCACACTTGCTACCTAAAGACCCGCCCCCTCTGGCATCTTCCCCAATTCCCTCCCCCAACACAGCCCTCGGTATCCAGCCCTGCACTGGACTTCTTCCTGTGTCCAGATTTCTTCTATTCCTTCCATCCATCTCTGTCTCCTCCCTATACCCCCATTCCAGCGCTCTGTCCTCTTCAGATTTGGTGACTGCTCAGTCTATCACCAGCCCTTTGTTGGCCCCCTCCGGAGTTCTCTCTTGAACCCCCCAAGTCTCCTCCCATTAATTCTAGACTCCCTCCACTGGCTGCAGCCTCGGCTTCACTTGCCCACTCACCAGGCCACCTGAGGAGCCGCAAGGAAATCGGGTCTGGCCCTCTCGCCCTCCCCAGCCACCGCCCAGCGCCTCGCTCTGCTCAACTTTCCCCATAAACTTTCTCAGCGCCCAGGCTCCTCCCCTCTCCCTCCCTTTGTCCCGCCAGTCCCAGCAGCTGCTCCGGCTTTGATCTCGTCTCTGGGTCTCTCCCTCCCTTTCCCTCTGTCAGGGCACGCAGCCCGCCCTTAGAAGACACCACTCCTACCCTCCTTTCACACTTGGGAATCAATTATACCTGTTTCTGCTTTCTGCAGAACAAAAGACTCATTCAGGCAACACAAGGAAAGAAAGGAAGGAGAAAGTGACAGATAAGAGTTGAAAGGAGACATTGTCAAGGTCGTTACAAGGTAGCCAAAGGCTGACACACAGAGAACAGGGGCTCCCACTCTGAAGGCAGGGGGCAGTGGTGTGGTAATATTAATGATGCCTCATGTTCAAAAGGAATTTTGCTGGTGACAAGGTGCTTCCTCATACAGTTCCTATTCGGTCCCCACAATTCTCCCCATTCTTGCAGATGAAGGGGCTCAGATCCAGAGGGTAGACAACTTGCCCAAACTCAGTCCAGAGAACAAGTTCCAAGAGAGGCACGAGGCAGGCAGAGACCAAGCCCGTCACAGAGGCTGGGGCCTCCGCCAGAAGCCAGGGCTCAGGAAGGGATGCTGAGGGGACAGAAGGTCACACATGGGATCCAATAAATTATCCGTTTATTTGTAGAATAAACACTGAAACATGAAATGGGGAGGCTTGTGAAGGATGTGGATGGCAGAGGTCATGAGACGAGCCCCCCCCTTTTTTTTCTTGGTATTTTAGTTTAAGAAATTGATACTGAAAAAACTCAATAGAACTCAGGCCTATAGATCTTGACATCCTATTCACATAGTCCCCTGCCCTGCACCCCGTCAGCACCCAGCTTTGTCTTTTCTGAGACCAGGTGCCCCCACCCCCCCCCACCTCCAACTTCCTTCAACCCCCCCCCCAACTGCAACTCTAAAACTCCTCCCTTTCTCCTTGTTGAGCCTGACCACCAGCCAGCCCCACGTTAGAGGCTTGGCTGGAGAGACCAGACCTCCTTCCTAAATAAATAGCCCCAGCCCGCCCCCTACACTCCTCCTGCAGATACCAAATGAAAAAATAAATATTGTGAACACTTCCCCCTTAACTCACCAATGGGTATCTCCTCGATTTGGGGCCCCAGCCATTCACCCAAAAAGTCCCTTCTCTACCCTCTCTGTAGCCCCCTTTGACTCCTCCCCAGACCCAGCTGAGGGGGGAGGAGAGGAAGGGCAATGAACCCTTCTGATGCTAGGGCACCCCTCCCCTGTTATCGAGGTCCAAGCAGGGCCAGTGCTGAGAGGAAGAGAATGAGGATGGGTTGGGTGTGAAAACCAACGGATGTCCCCCCAGTCCTGGTCTTGCCCTGGTTGTGGCGGACAATGACACCTCCTCCTTTGCCCCCAGCACCGTCCCTTCGAGGAGGGCGAGGAGGCCGGGCTGGGGGTGCCACAGCTGCTGCCCCAGCCATCCAGTCATCTGCATAGTGCTGTCCCTCTCCAGAGCCGCTGGCATCCTCATCTGCAGGGAGGGAGAGGATCAGAGACAGACAGGATGGGAAAGAGAGGCAGAGGCAGACAGAGGGAGACAGAGAGACATAAACAGGGAGGGAGAGAACTCGAGATAAAAACAGAGAAAGAGAGACAGGTAGACAGATGGAGAGTGGGAGGAGGGAGAAAGTGAGTGACAGGAAGGAAGGGAGAGAGATCAGACAGACATGGGAATGAGAGAAGGCGATGGGAGACAGGAAAAGAGACAATGAGACAGACAGCAAAAAGAGAGAGACAAACAGATGAGGAGAGAGGATAAACAGGAAAAGACAGAGAGAAAACAGACGTACAAAGCAGCAGCCAGCAGAGGGGAACAGGGATGGGGGAGGAGAGACAAAGACAGCAGACAGACAGCAGGAGAGAGAAAAAAATGAACATCCATGCTGTGCTTTTCTGGCAAACTCTACCTTGGGGAGCCAGCCCATGGTCCCCTCTCAGCTTCCCCACCTCCCCGGCATTGCCCGCCCTCCCCAATGCACAGCCCTTTGCCCACTCTAAGAAGCTTCCCACTGTTCTGTAAGTATGTTTTAGTGTCTCCGCCACTGCACTGTGAACTCAAGGACAGAGCCCCTCTCCCTACTGTTCTACTCCTCATCTTTGAGATAAGCGCTCAGTAAATGCCTGCTAAATGAATGAGGGAATGAATGATAACCGAGCAGAGATTCGAGGGAGGGACCCGGAAAGCAGTGGGCGGGGCCCGGGGCTTGAGGGTGGGCCCGGGTCCAATCCCAGGAAGCCGGGAGGAGCGAGGCCCTCAGGGTGCCCCCGGGTCTCACCCCAGTCCTCCAGGTCCAGGTCGCGTCCCAGGGCGGCCGCCCTCATCCTGGTCGTGGCCGCGCGGAGCTGCAGCCGCCGCCTCCTCGTCTGGAGGTCGGGGCTCGAGGATTCCGCATCCAGCTCTGGGTTGTTGAGCTGCTCGGTCTGGGAGCCCCCGACCACGGGCGACAAGTACCTGCGAGCAGAGCAGCCCCGAAGGCTCCCTCCCGGCCCGCCCCTGGAGTCGGGCCTCGACCCCCCGCCGCCCGCCCGGATCTCACCGGCCCCGCTCGGCTCCGGTCCAGCACGGCGCCGCCTCCTGCGAGATGTCCGCCGCCATGCGGGGGTCCCCGCACACCGTCAGGGGCAGCCCGGCCCAGAAGCCCCTCACCCGGCCCAGCCGCTCGCGGAGCTCCCACACCTGCGCGAGCAGAGAGAGCGGGCCGAGCTGGAGCGCGCGCCCCTGCCGCCGCAGCCGCCCGCTCGCCCGCCCCCCACTCACCAGCCGGGGCAGGCTGGTGCCCGCAGCCGTCGTGGGCCGCTCCTCCGCCGCCGCCGCCGTCCAGAGCCGGTCTGCCTCTTCCCGGGGGGCTGGGGCTCGGCGGGCGCGGGCCGGCGCCGGCTGCGGGCTCCCGCATTCCTGAAACACCTGCAGCACAGCGAAGAGACCCCACACAGTCATCCTGCGGTGAAACCCACACTCTGTCCCCACTCCAACACCCCAGTCTCCCCTGGCACCCCCCCTTTCCCCAGATACCCTACAGTGTCCCTGACACCCCACGCTGTCCCCCCACCCCAGGCCCTCACCTCCACCATTCTCCTGTACTCGAGCTGACACCCCACCCCTCAGGCTGACACTCCCCTCCCTTCTCATGGCCCCTGTACCTGGGCTGACACCCCCACACTGTTTTCCTGCAGATACATCAAACCCTCTGAGATCTTCACCCCGATGGACTGGGCTGCCAGCTCAAAGGAAAAGGGGCCCTGGAGCTTCTCAGCCAGGAAGAGGAGACCATCTTGAAGGAAGAGGAGAAAGAGAAAGGGTGCAATGAGGGGCCAGCCAGGGAGATACTGAACCAGAATATTCCCACAGATCCTGACCCTGGCCTTAGAGGGAAGGAGCAAGGTGTTGGATGGGGGAAACTCACAGGAGAACAGCACCCCCCATAGTCCCCCCTCAATACCGCTTAAAATTCTCTCCCTGACCCACCCCCACCCACCCTCTACACAGACAGCCCTCCCAGGCTTTCCTGAATCCCCGCACCCAGATAGGCCCCCCAGTCAGGATCCATTCCCTGGCTGCTGAGACAGCCATGGGCCACATTGAGGCAGAAGCCCCGGCAGGGTGGCAGTGAGGGGACCCCTCGACAAAGGGGGCAGCCTGTCAGACGCATCACAGCCCGCCTGCAGCCTTCAGACATCGGCACCTGGGGGCAGAGAACAGGGCTGTGTCATCCACAGCCATCCACCGTGGCTGCCCTCAGCCTAGCTTGGTGCTGGGCACAGAGAGAAATCACACACCCCACCCCACCTTCCGCAGGCTCTATGTAGAGAACGTCTAGGGTTGGTGACCCCATATAGCAGTAGGTGAGACCCCAAGACTGCCACAGATCTGAGGAGAGAGGTTCCTAGGGGCCAGGATGCAGATACTGCTGCTTGGGAGGGATGGAAGTAGAGAGGCAGTGGCGGAGTTTGAGAAAAGGTTCAAGGACAAGACTGAGCCCATCCTGTTGGGGAAAGAGGAGACTGAGAGTACAGGAGGTAAGGCTGGGAGGTTTGCGAGGCAGGGGTGGAGGGAAGAACAGGTGGTGGAGAGAGAGCTTTAAAGGCCAAGCCAGGAATGTGGCCTTCAGTAGCAAGGAAGAGGGAGCCATTGAGGGGTCCTGGAGGAAATCAGGGAAGCCAGTACTCCAATCTTGGGCTGCTATGGAGATAAGCAGGCCCCCAGAGGCTGGCAGGGGATATGAGTCATCAGAGGGCAGGAGAGGGTCAAATGTGGGAGGAGGTCATGGATCATCACACCAGGAAGACTTCACTCCAGCCCCCTCCTTCTCGATTTATTTTGAGATGCCAGGGCCTGAGGCTGATATGGGAAGGCCCCTGGCCTCTCCTGCCAGCTGGTGCCTGACTCTTCCTCATGGGGCCTCTCCTACTTCTGCCTGTACTTTCCTACTTCTCCTTCCCTCCCTGGGCCCTGCCCATACTCAGGCCCCCTCTAACCTTAAGTGCCTCTCTGACCACATCTCTTCCAGTCTCCAGGCCCTGGATAAAGGCGCGGGCAGCCACCAACGCCCGGGTTATCTGGCGGAGGGGAAAGAAAGTGAGGAAAACCACAGGGTGTTGTAGATTAGTCAAGACTGGGGCCAGGAGACTGCACCAAGGGGACACGCAGTGGGGGTTAGGTTTGTGGGGTTATCTTGGGGTGGTTAGGAGTGCCAGGTGGTACAGGGAGGCAGATTCAAGAGGCTCAAAGGAATTATAGTCTAGAAGGATCAAGGGGAACTGGGCTTGGGAAGAGCTGGAGGGGTTGTGTTTAACAGGGCTTGGAGACAGAGGGACTGTGTATCAGAACAAACACTGAAATTGAAGCCAGAAGACCTGGGTGTGAAACACAGCACTAACACTTACTGGCTGTGAGACCTTAACGTCTGGGATGATCAGTTTTCTCATCTGTAAAATAGGGATACTAATAGCTACCTCACAAAGTTATGATGACAATTAAATCAGATACTATAAATGAAAATCCTTCTCAAATATTAAGTGCCTAACTCACATTTAGTTGAACCAGAGGAAGTCAAGAGATTAGGATTAGGGAGGAGTTAGCAGAAAGGTGGCTGGGGGCCAAGAGCAGGTGAGTGGGTAAGGAATTTGTGTGAAACTAGAGCACAGAATGAAGGGAGCAGAGGGCATCCAATTAAAGGAGACCAAGGAGCACTGGGTCAGGCAGAGGTGACTGGGGCTCAAGATAGGTGCACCAGGTCAAAGATGGCTGCCATGCAGGATAGGGGATCACCAGGTCAGGGGTGACTCGGGCACAAAAGGAGAGTCATTGGTTTGAAGGTGAGTGGTGCACAGTTCAGAGGTCACTAGGTCAGAGGTGGCTGAAGCTCAGGCCTTGGGGCCCCTCACCTGCAGGCGGAGGCGGCGGGGTGAGTCCCCAAAAGGCTTCAGAGAGTCATCAGCAGAGGAGGCGAGGCGCGTGAGGCAGAACAGGTAGTCAGGGGAGAAGATGTACTGTGGGTGCAGCAGGGGGAACATTCTCTCCAGGAGCTGTGCCCAGAAATCCACCAATGCATCATCTAACCCCTCACTGGACCTCTCATAGTAGTCCCGCAGCCGAGAGAACAGGCCACTGAATAAGGGGCTGTACTGGGAATACAGGCGGCCATAGGAGCGTTGGAAGAGCAGGGCCAGGGAGTGCTCAGATGATGAGAGCATCTCCCGAAAAACCTCTGTGGCAAATGCAGAGAAAGGGGTGTAAGGTGGGGTGAGGCCAGAAAAGGATGGAAAAGGGCAGAGGCAGGAAGAGACGGGGATGGGGAGAGAAGAGAAAAGACAGGTGAATTAGAAAATGAGCAACTCTGAGACCTGGGCAAACTAGGAATTGGGGTGGGGGGGCAGGACCCTAAAGAGAGCCTGGGGTGGGAGTAGGGGAGTCTAAACCAGAGCTGGGGTGCCTTAGGGATGGAGTGGGAAGTAGGGACAGGATGCTTGCTGGGTCATGAGCACAGAGAGGAGATGTGAGACCAGGTTTGGGGATCCTGAGTCCTCACCATCAAATTTTCTGTGCCTGGCAGCCAGTGTGTGAACTAGGAAGGAGCCGCTCTCCTCCACCAGGCCTCGGAAGGTAGCCTCAGTCTCCCAGGTCAGCCTCTGCTCTATCTCACTGGAACAGCAGGTGTACTCCTGGGGACAGATCCGGAGGTGCTCACCTGGACAGAGGAGACACAGAGGAATGGTGGGAAGTGATGTCATGAAATTCCTTCCTTCTCCTGCTAATCTCTGGGGGCCATCCCTTCTCTTCCACCTGTCTGGTCTCTTTTCTATTGTCTGTCCCCTCATTCCCATCTGACCCTATCCCCTCCTTATTGTCTCCTCACCCATCCCCAGTCTACTGCCATTAGCCATGGGATCAAACAATGAGGGGCCAAATTAGTGATCAGAGGGTCCTCAGGTGACCTTCCCCAACGTCACACACCCCAAGCCTCTAAGAACTTACAGCACCGCTTCTATGGGAAGAATGGGGTTTGGAGGAATGGGGTTACTTGGTGAGCAGGAAGGTATTATCAGAGAAAGACCTCATAGAAATAGCGAGGGGGAGAAATTTGGCTGTGAAGAAAGAAACACAGAGGGGGATGCTAGTTACTAGAAAGGGATTCCTGGGGTGGGAGGGGGGCGGGGGGGGTGGAGTAAGAGAGCTATTATGTGAACAGGAGCGTTATTGTGATCCTGGTAAGGAAGTTCAGGAGAAGGAGAGACATTATTACTAGGGGATGAAAAGATGATTATAACGGTCACTCTGAAAGGGAAGAGAGTTATTGTGAGATGGGGAGGACCCGCCTCCGCCCACCACCCTCGCCCCCAATTCTCTAGTCTTCCTCTTTCTCCTCACCTGAGATCAGGACGGGAGGGAGTAGGCTTAAGCTATATCCCCGGGCCCCCAGCACCTGCCGAGTCTCAGTGCAACTCCGGGTGACCTTTGCCTCGCTCCCGGGTCCAGGACCAGGACCAGGACCAAGACTCAGAGGCAGCAGCAGAAGCAGAAGAGATCGCAGCGCGGACATAGCTGCTGCCGCCGTGGGACAGCAAAGTGGGTCCTAAGGAGGAAGGAAAGCCGCCCGAACTCGGAAAGGCGGTTCTCTGCCGCGGGACCGCCCCGCCGGCGAGAGAAAGAGCGCGACCTCGGAAAACTGAACAGCGAGCACGATTGCTGGACCAGGCGGCATCTGCCGAGACAATGGGAGCGGGGAGCCGGACAGGGGGCGGGGCCCGAGGAGGCGCCCCGCCAATGATGGGAAGGAGCCGGCCTGAGGGGCGGGGTCCAGGGAGAAATTAAGCCAATGCAGTGGGGAAGCTCGGCGGGGGTGCGGGACTCGGCCGAACTAAGGAGGTTGGAGGAGGGGCGTGGTCTGTCTCAGGGGCGTGGCGACCCGGTTCGAAAGGCGGGGCCTGGGTGGGACCCAGCCTCTGGAAGTCGAGAAGCCAGATTGAAGGGGCACTACTAGTCTAGCGCGAAGACCCGCCAATGGAGGGGGAGATTGGAGGCAGAGGGGGCGGGGCCGGGGTGGAGCAGGGCCAAAGCGGGCGGCACGCGTGCCCGGGCCCACGTGACTGGGCGGCACGCCTGAGACCTCGTGGCCGCACGAGGCTGCCGGAGCGGCGTGACTGGAACGTGGCGAGCACGAGCTAGCGCACCTCCAAACCTCGCGAGAATTACCGGAACAGAAGTTGTACTCGCGCTTGCGCACAACTGCCTTCGCGCGTTCCCGCGTGTTTTTGGATTCTTCTGCCGCCGGAAGGGAAGGGGCTTACGCCAGTGCTGGAGGTGGGGTGACCACAGAGACCTGAGGGACCGAAGGCGGTGACTTTTCCTCAGCCCTGCTCAGCCGGAAGTCGCTGTTCTAGCTCACACAGTGAGGCCCCTCTTTGACCCGCGAGTACGCCCGCCCACACACACTCTCGGCCCTGAGGAACCCCTCCCCCACCCCGTGCCTCAGTGGCCTCCCCCAACAGAGGCCAAGCGTCCCATCTCCAGGCCCCGAGAGTCTGAGAGTCACTCTCCTGAGCGGTTAGAAGGCTGCTCCTCAGCCCGAAGAAACTTACCCCAGGGTGGGTCACATCCCACCTCCTGGAAAAGTGGTGAAGGCGAGCTTTGCTTTACTCCCTCCGCGATTCCGGCCCTGTTGTAATGGCGCGTCCACCCCGAGTCGTTGAGCGTTTCCCATTCCGTTCCGCGTGGAACCAGGTTCCAGCCTTCTAGAAATGAAAGTCTGCGTGCTTTTGTTTTTCTGTATTTTCGGGGTTTTTGTTTTAACGCGCGAGCTGGTTCCCTTGCACCAGGTGATTGGCGCTTCCGAAGCCCGGGCGAGGGCTCTGCTTTAAGCTGCTCTGCTGTGTGCCTGGCCCTGTGCTTGGAGAGCGGCCCGAAGCCGGGCGCGGCGCCTGGGGCGGGCGAGTCTTTAGTCCCCCGATGCCTTAGGTCAAGACTCTTGGCCTTATATTTTTGTGGGTGCTCTCGCCCCCCGAGTTCCAGAGCAGTTCTCTTGGAAAGAAAGGGGCTGGGTGGGGCTGCGCTGGAGAAGTGGTGGGGTAGGAGCCGTCTCCTCTCTCTTCCCCCAGCTGGACCAGCATGCCTACCCTGCGGTCTTCCTCCTCCCTGCCCCAGAGCGCCTCTTCCCCAAGCGGTGTGTCCTCCCCGCTGCGGAGAGCAGTGCGAGGGGGACAGAGGGGCTTGCCTGCGTCTAGTCCATCTGTCACCATGCCCCGTGGTGACAGGGACTCGGACCACGCTCCCGAGGGGTAAGTGGAGTTGGGGAGAAATTGTTCCCTTGTCTGGCTTTCTCCTCTATCTGCCTGTGACTGACTGTATGAAAACATGAGATGCTGTACTGCTTCAGAACCGTGACCCCCCTCAACTCTGCCTGCTGTTTTTTGGCTGCCCTACGTCCTATAGGCACCAAGAGTAATCATCGTGTTCTAAATTCATTATGCTTTAAGCCTTTTTTGAACCCATTTGTCTGTTCTGCATGTACAACCACTGGTGGGGGCCCGGAGGTGGGGAAGGGGAAGAAAAGAATTCATTATTTGTTGCCTGACAAATGGTATATACTTTTTAGTTGGTGTCTTGTAGTTCCTTTATTTGGGGATTTTGTAAACAGGTCCATTTATCCTTATCTGTTATTGTTTATGAGTTTATTCTGTGAAGTTTACAATAGTATATCTTGTGTTTTTTTATCTTTCCAGGAAAAAAATAATCTCATACAAGATCTGATTTATCCCCTGGTTATTTTAATTGGTCTCCTCTGAATCATTTCTGCTTCTGTCAGTGCTACTGTTGGGGACCAGATTATATCTATGTTATAAAATTAACTCTAGTCAATAAGACATGTGAATTTGTTTCAAGGTTTGAAGTTTAACTCCAGGCACATGTTAATCTCCTGTTTATGTATGAGTAATATTTGACTCGCAGAGCCCTGCTGATTTTTCTCCACCTGGCAGTGATTGCTCTGCCTGCTGAAGTGAATGTCATTTGATTTTCTTATTCAGAGAAAATAGTAGGAAGGGGTTGGCTTTCACCCATCTCAGTTCCTCATTCTTCATCTCCATTGCTGTATTCAAGTGCAAGTTTTCTTTTAAGACTTTGTCCCTACTTCCTGGTAACAGTAAGCTCGTCTCTTCTTAAAGAAAATCTGAATATATTTTTCTAGTGGAGAGGGGGTACAGATAGAGACAAAGAGAAATTATAATTTATTTACCCTTTTATGTGGAGAGATTGGGGTGTTGTATCTAAGGAGAACCACGCTCCCTCATAGGGATAGTGATTCTTTGTCAGCTGATGAAGGCAGTGACTTTGAAGACAGCTTGAGACGCAGTATGAAGAAGAGAGCAGCAAAACGACCACTCAAAACAACCCCAGTGAGTCAGTCAGTTTTGTTTTGTTTTTGACCCTGGTCTGGGAAGTGGCAAAAGAAAACTTAGAAGAGGCTCAGGTGATATGTTTGATGAAAAGGCAAGGCTTAAAGAGTGTTAAGGGACAGAAGTAGGAAGAAGGCAAATTTTGACGAGAAAACAATAAGATTAGAGGGTGTTAGAATATAGAGGAACAGGAATGGAGCTAAGGGACTTTTTAAAAGGAGACAAAGTTAGAAGTAATGAAGTTCACAGTATAAAAATCAGTTATTTCAGATCTGAGTCAGTAGCTCAAGCTCTGTGGAATTGGCAGCTTCAGTCTACCTGTGTGGTGGTGATGAGAGCAAGTGTTAACATCACTTTCACTTTTTAAAAATATTTGTGATCTCTTTATACTTATTAGGTGGCAAAACAACCAAAGAAGGGGTCCCAAATGGTGCGTCGTGGCCAGAAAGAGTCAGAGCCACAAGCCAGTGATCTCTTTGATGCTGTGAAAGCTGCCAAAAGTGACATGCAGGTAAAACAGTGTCTCACCTCTGTTTCTTGATACCATCTCACCCTCTGTGGAGTAGAAAGATAAGGAGAAGTGTCTAGAAACTTGGTTTAATATGGACATTGTAGTGAATATAAGCTATATATCAGGAAAGACAGATAAGACTATGGAGTGAATCCTTGAAGTGATATAAGGGAGACCTTGGGTGAGAGAGAATCTTCCTTTCCTAAAAGTATCACAGGATCGATTTTGCCTTTATTGATTGATGGAGGAGGCAAGGAGAGGTATTGGATAATCTTGAGAGAAAGCTTGGATATGCATGGCAGTTTGTTCACCCTTGTCACATTTTAGCTCCACTTTGACACTTATACCTAATTCTTTTTTTCCTCTCCACATTTCTTTTTCTGTAATTTTATTGTAATTCTATTGTCGTCTAAAAGTGTATAAGGCTTACATGTAATTTTAAATTTTTCAAATGATCACCCAGATCTCTAGCCCCAGCTCAAGAAATAAGACATTAATAGTACTGTAGAGGCCCTTGTGTATCTTCTCTCCACCATACCCCCACAGTCCCCTCACTGCCCAGAGATGACCACTAGAGTGAATTTTCTGTTAATCATTCCCTTGTCTTTCATTATAGTTTTATCACCAATGAATGTGTTCCTTAATTTAAATAAATGAATCATTCTTTGTGTAGTTTTGTGACTTAATTATTTCAGTTGTTTGGTGTTCACCCATATTGGTGTGTAATGTAGACTTTTATGGTTTTTAGGAAAGTTTTAAATTTTCAAACGTATGGAGTTTTTCTATTTCTATTTCTGTTATTGATTTCTAACTTGATCGCATTGTAGTCAGAAAACGTGGTTCTTGAAACTTAGAGAAGCTTTCTGACCTAGCATTTAGTCGATTTGCAAAACTATTTTACACGTGCTTGAAGAGGTTATGTGTTCTCCAGTTGTTGGGTACAGTGTTCTCTTGGGTGAGATCAAAAGTGTTAAATGCGATACTGCTTTGATATTTCTACTGAGTTTTTTGGGGGGGGGTTATTCTGTTTGATATATCAATTACAGGGAGAGATGTGTTAAAAATCTACAAAGGTGACTTTTTCAATTACTCCTTTGGTATTCATGCCCATCTTTGCCTTAAATATTTTAAGGCTTTGTTTCCTGGTAAATTGAACCTTTTTTTGTTTTATACTGACACTCTTTTTTTTTTTTATATTTTATTTCTTTAATTTTTTTTTTTTTGTGGGGAAGATCAGCCCTGAGCTAACATCCATCTGAGGAAGACCAGCTCTGAGCTAACATCTATTGCCAGTCTTCCTCCTTTTTTTCCCTTTTTCTCCCCAAAGCCCCAGTAGATAGTTGTATGTTATAGTTGCACGTCCTTCTAATTGCTGTATGTGGGACGCGGCCTCAGCATGGCCTGACAAGCAGTGTGTCAGGGCACGCCTGGGATCTGAACACGGGCCACCAGTAGCGGAGCGCACGCACTTAACTGCTAAGCCACGGGGCCAGCCCCGACTGACACTCTTATCTTTATACTTTAAGACAAAATATTGTTTTGTTTTAACATATCTATACTAGCTTTGTTTTTGGTTGGTATTTGCCTAGTATCTTTTTCTGTCCTTTTACTTTGAATCTTTCATGTATGTTTGGAGTCACCTGCATACAGCATATATCTG